CAGGCCGGCACCCTCCCCATGGGACACGGGGCTGCCCTGGACGTGCAGGGGTGGGTGCGAGACCCCCCACCCCAGCAGCACTGCCCGAGCGGGAGCCCCTCTGCTTTAAAGCATCACCGAGAGCTGAGGGAAGCAGGGAGGGGGACGAGCCCTGCGCAGGCAGAGGGGACAGAGGCACCATCACCCCTTCCTTGACCCCAGCCTGTGAGCAGCGAGGGGCACAGCCCCGGGGGTAGGGGAGGGGGATGCTCCCGTCAGAGCAACGTTTCTCCTTTGGGTTGGGTGAAATTCATCCCCGAGTCGCGGCTGCTCCCTGAGGACAGGGACAGCCCCGCAGGTGGGCGTGAGGGGGCTCATTCCCCAGGACCTGGTTTGTGCAGACAGCCCCATCCCAGACCCCATACTGGGAACTGCGCTTTAGTGACCTTCCCATACAGCCCAAAAGCCCACGACATTTCTTGGGAGAGCAGCTTAATGGGAATATTGCTATTAAACTATCTGCAAGTTTATGGAAAAGCCCGGTTACTTCAAGCCTGATTTCTAAACCTGCGATAATTTGAGTGAGTCGAGAAACATCCCGATGCACACAAAGCCATCACTGGGCCGGGAGGAGGCTGGACCAGAGCCTGTCTCCAACGTGTATTGGGCTCCTCGGTCCCCACCGCCTTCCCTGTTTCCTTCCCCCCTCCCCAAGGCATGGGGAGTGGGGTCAGAGCCCCCAGCTGCTGGGAGGGGGGGGCCTGGATGCACTGTGCTGCAAAACCATCCAACATGGCTTGCCCCTGCGCAAACAGATTGACCAAGAGCTCTTGCGAAACCCGCTTTTCGCTGGCCAGAAGCTGGTGACACCCACCCAAAGAGGGGGCTGGAGGGTGGGAACAGCCCCTCTCCACTGTCTGCTGCGCCGGGGTGACAGTACAGAGGAGGGGGCTTCTTTGGGGAAGGTCAATGCAGCCCAGACACAAACCCAGTACCCTTCGATATTCATCCGCTCACCCCAAGGGCCAGGGTGCTGCACCCAGCCCTGCAGTCCAGGTGATGGCTGGGAAAAGAGAAACAGCTTTCAGCACAGGGGCTGGCAGGTTGGAGCCTGGGCTTTGGCCACCTTCCAGCTGCTGCCCTTGATCAAAAACCATGCCCTTTCACCCTCTGTCAACCAAACGTTTTGCAAGAAACAGAAGCAGCACCAGGCCAGGGCACCGTGCCGGAAGGGGAGCTGTGCCAGCAGCATATGAGATGCCCACGGCTGAGGGAAGCCACAGGCGAGGTGCTTGGCAGAGGGGGTGACAGACAGCTACCACTGTCCCCCACTGCGGCTCAGAGCGAGCAGGGCGGCAGCTCAGGAGGGGGGAGATGCTCCATGGACAGGGTCTGGAGCCTGCACCACATTTTCATACACCTAATTGTCACCAGGAGAAACGAGGACTCAAGGTTTCAAGTGCAGAGAGCAACAGCGAGTTGCTCCAGAGCGGTGCAGGTTCTGGCTGGCAGGGAGCTCCATGCCCTTCGCTCTCTGGGGAGGTAGGAGCTCTGCAGTCTGGTGGCAGATCATCACTCGCCTTCACACTGGCCCTCACACCCCCGTCACCTCTGCAGACTGTGGTCCACAGCCCCCAGTTGCAGGGGTGAGGTGTATCCTCGGCATGCTGGATGCTGGTTCACGTGTGGCTGTCAAGTCAAGGTGCTCCCTGCAGGGTATGAAGCTCCAACATCAAACTGGTCCCAGTTCAGCGAGCCTGGACGCAAGGCTCTGTCTGTACACAGGTTATCCAAACAGCACACCATCTCCAAACAGCAAACACGCACATCGCAGGATGTTTTTCACAAAACTGTAATGAAAGGAACCATGGAGCAAGTGCTCCCACACCCCAACCCACCCTCAACACCTCCCAGCTGTCCACGTGCAGCCATCTCACTCCAGTCCACGTCTACAAACGTGTCTGTGGGAGAACACCTCCTCCAGGCTTGCTCCCTCCACAATGACCGGTGCCATCCCCACCACACAGCTCTTACTGCAGCTGCCCTCGTAACCGCAGAGAATTAAGTCTGATTTAATGCTCCACACTAGCTAACTTTCAGAGAAAATCTTTCCCAGCTGCACCATCAGCCATTCTCAAGCTCCACCAAAGCTGGTCCTATCTGACTGGGGACAGGATTTTAACCTCATGCCCAGATGCCACGATCAGGTCATTCTGGCCAGTGACTGGCCTTCAGCTCAGCTCCCCCACAATGCAACACCAGGAATGTCAGGAGATTTTCCTCCGTGGGGAAGCTCTTCATCAGTTCAGACAACATCTCCTGGAGGGAACAACCAGATCACCGCACCAGGCAGCAGAAACCACCACCAATCAGCACCAGTTTGGCCCAGCATCTTGCAGGAACTGTTGGACTTGCTGGAAGCCTGGACAAGGCATTTCTGCACCCGCACGGGCAACGCACCGCCCGCTGCCAGTCCTCTTGCCTGGTTGTGGGGAAAGGCTGCAGATCACAGCCCGTGGCACGAAATCATTTTGATCTAGTGAACAGCTCGGCAACAGACAGGCCTACAAGGAAACTAAAACAAGTTACAAGTTATTTAAAACAACAAAGTAAGCACTTTATTTCCATTAAGCATGTTGTTTTAGTATCACAATGGAATGATGAGAAAACATTTAAAAAAACCAAAAAAAGTCTCTAATCCCCACAAACAGCAGGGAGGTTTTCAAGGCAATTTAAAAACAAAGGGAGTGACAGAAGTGCCAAAACAGTCCCAACATCACGAGTCTCCTCCTCTGAGAGCCGGGCAGGGGCAGGAAGGTGGAATGACACGAAGGTATGAATGTCTGAAGTAGTCTTTGGCGCTTCTGCCTCACGTTTGATACATACACGATCTCTTGAGACAACTCCACAGAATTCTCTGGAGCCGACAAAGTGCTACGTTAGTAGAACAAAACCCCAGCGAGAGGACTTTCCGTACAGCCGAGATGCCCTGCGGTTGGGCATTAAGACACATCCTGCAGACAGCGCCGACTCCAGCTGGGGGCCTTTGGGTTGAGGGAGGAGAAAAGGAAGCGTGGTGTGTGAATCCAAGAGATGTGCCCATGTGCAAGACGCCGCGCCCTGCAGTACTGACA